GATCAAATCAGGTGGATTAATGTCAACAGCCATAACCTTCAAGTGGGACTTGGAAATGCAGTCACTGGATTCTGCTGGACCAATCTAATTCTTCATCAATCTCTTCTCTGTCTTTTGATATCAGTAATGAATGTGTAGGATAATAAATTATTGTGTGATAATATAAATATTTTAAAGGTACCCCAAGTTAATCTTTTTAATATAACTCCTATTAGGAAGCAAGTGCTTCCTTAATATGAAAATCCGTTGTCACAACCTAGAAGTGATGAATGGGTGCACTCCCAAGAGGAGGAATTAAGAAGGCAAGTCCTGACTGTTGGCTTGGGTTTGAGTTCACAGTGGCATTCAGCAGCATGGGGGCACTTGCAGCTGGGCCATGCCCAGGCTGTGCAGTCTCTTCAGTGCAGCAGGCTGCTGTGCAAATTGCTCTCTTTTGGTGCTTCGGGTTCCAAAGCTGTTGCTCCTCTGTGTTGGTCTGAAATAGGTTTACAAAATCCGTGTATAATGTATGTGCAGTGCATATTGCACGGTCTGGGGGTTTGTCCTTCGCAAAACACAAGCTCTGTCAGAAGTCTGTGGGAAGAGATTTTTCCTGCACAGTAGATTTTATCCAGCAAATTCAACTGCTGCAGTTGCAGCTGAACTTGGTGGCCAAGTCTGTTCTGACGGTGTCTGGCCTGGAATGCTCAATCTCTTCTCTTTTCCCCCCAGAACGTTCCCTACTCTCTTGGTATTTCTCCTTTTATGTGATCATGCTTTTGTTAAAACTTAGAGTAGCCATTCAGAAAAATCAGAAAAATCCCTTTTCCTTTTCCCTCTCTTTGGGCAGGATGTCCTCCCGAGGATGATGGGTCACCACTTGAAGACTGATCTCAGGAAAGACAAATCAATTCTGCAGTGAGTCCTGGTGCTCCTTTTAACAATCAGCATTCCTGGTTCCCAGGGCTCTTCCTTTTCAGTAAGGCCTAAACACATCAAGTCGTTCCTGCATATTCCCTGGAGTATTTCACTGTCTCAAGACAGACAAAGGGATCTTCAAAACTTTCTGAATTGGTTCAGCATGAGGTAACAATGCACATTTTATCCCCAAAGCACCACTCTAAAGGCAGTGTCTGATTGCCCATTTCTGAGGGACTCCAGGGCCACAGGGTGGGGTCACTGTCCATGTGTTGTACAGGGGCTGAGTCTGAACTATCTGATGATCCTGGGCCCAGAAAATCTCTTACTCTGCATAATCCCCGTGACCTTTTCCTGTGCCACTCATCTGCCTGCACTCACAAGGGGCTGGTACCTGGCTGATTTTATGGAGGGTGTGCTGCATGTCCTGGGATCAGCCCTAATGTGCTGTGATTCCTTCTGCAGTGGTTACAGCCCTGTCAGGGAGCTCAGTGTTGGGCTTTACTCGGCCACTGCAGGGCTTTTCCAGAGGCCATTGCCCCGTTGCTCTGTCTGGAGCTGCTCAGCAAGCACAAGGCAGCAATTACAGACAGGGCTGCTGGGCACCCAGCCTGGGCACTGGGAGGTGGGGAGAGATCCCAGAGACACCATTCACCCACCCACAGAGCACACTAAAACACCTTCTTTATTTCTCTTTTTATTGGCTCTGTCTGCTCTCATCTGCTGCCTGAGCATTTTATCTGTTCATGCTGCTTTTTTCTATGCAATAAAAAGAGCAGACAGGCTTTTGCCCTGTATTTAAAATATTTTGCCACATTTAGAGGTAAATCACAGCCACTTTTCTGGGCTGAATAATTTCAGACTCATCAGAGATGGAAATGTTTTGATAGCAAGCGCTCTCACAGGGTCCAGCCACGGTCAGACAGGAAAAGTCTCCTCCTCCCACCTTACTTTTCTTTGCTCTGATATAAACCTGTCCCTCTCTCCCCATCTCTGGGAGTCAGCGCCCACATTCCTTCGTGCACAGTGAAGGAAAAAGGAGAGGAAGGTCTGGCTCCCAGTCCCTCCACAGGCAGAGTTTGAGTTGTTTACATGAGGAATTCAGGGAGCAGAGATCTTCACTTCCATCAGATCTGTCCTGTCAGGAACAAGCTGACACCCTGGGCACCAAAACAGATCACAGGACCTACAACAAAAAGCAGAGCTCTGCCAAAGCTGCAGGCAGGAGTCTGTCAGGGAGAGTGATGGAGCAGGAGAGTGGTGTTCTAGCAGACACAGGGGGGCAAGGAAGGAAGGAAGGAACAAGAGTGAAAAGCGTAAGAAACTGGAAGAGACTTCAAGGGACACAACGCTGTTTAATGAGGCAGAAGCTGAGAGACAAGTGAGCTGCAGTGCAGGGTGATTTGCATTCTTCCAAGATGATTTGTAAAAGGGAAGAAGTTGTAGATGAAATGTTTTGATTCGCCTTTATCTCACTCTGCCTGTGCACTTGTGTCATTCATTTCATGTAGTAACCTCTACTAAACAGTCAGAGGCTGCAGCATAATTTTGTTGATCCTAAATTAAGGCAAAAGCTGCAGTTCTGGAATTTGGAGCTCATAGTACCTAATTGGCTGAAGGGCAAAATAAAGAAGTAAAGATCAATCACAGCTTTTCGTGTCACGCGAAAAGTCAAGGCTCATGCATCAGGGAACTTGAAAACAATCAGATTCATGTAAGTTCAACCTATGTCTCAATCCTAAAATTGCATTAAAATTAAACTCCCTGTTTCTAATTCTCATTCAGTGGAGCTTAGATGAACCTCAGATTTTTGGTGTTGCCACAATGGGAGTTATGGGAATTGATTGATTTCTTTGCAATATGAAGTGCCAAAAATGGGAAACAGTGGCACGTTTGGGGGCTCTTTCTGCTTTCTTTCCTTTCTATTCCTGTCTATCCAACATGGCAAAAATGCAATCTAATTGAGTAGCAGGAAGGCGACCTCCATGAAGTTAGCAAGTGAGGGAAAAAAAAGTTAATCTTTCAGGCTTTGAAGGAGCTGATACCAGGAGAAAAACTGTGCCTGCAATACAAAGCCAGAAGTTATCGACTATCCCGAGAGATGTTTTCACAAATCAACAAAGAACACAAGCCAGGAAAAAGAAAAGAGCATTGTTCTGCTCTGTGTCCCTAAGATGGGAAACTGAAAAGCTGTGAGCATGGAGCAGGTAGGAGCTGCCTGTCAGAGGAATGTCAGCTTCCAGCTGAACAGGAATAACTCAGAAGTCTTGAAGTCTCGGGATGAGTCTCTGCTGCCTTGCACACTGTGCAGTGTTTCAGTCAAAGCCCAGAAGGAGCAGAGTTTCCAGGCAGCCACAGAACACCACGTCAGGCCGTGCAGAAAGAGGATTGCAGCAGAAATGGGGCTCCTCCAGATCTACCTAAGACCCAGAATTGACACTAGATGAGGCTCAGCTGGAATAATTGTCTTAGTTCCTTCTTTTGTCCTCTCACTCCAAATATGTTTAGCTTGTATTTTACTTCAGCATGCTTCTATAAATCTTCAGAGGATCCATCTGGGAAGCACTTCCAGGATGGAAATGCTCTGACCTTTAGATGTTGACAGGGGAGGTGCATATTCTCATGTTCTGTATTATTGACAGTAATGCCAGTGCTCCCTTTTTTTTCTGTGAACAGTGTAAGTTTTACGTGTTTGTGTGACTTCAGTATATAGTTACCCTCCTACAAAACAGAATTTATATGCCAATGCTTTTATTCCAGGGATGTAGATGCAGTCCCCCATATGGATAAGCACATGACACCATTTAAGCCAGTGTCTGCAATGGCACCCATCCAAGTCCTCTGCAGCACGAGGCCATGGATGTGCCCACAGAGGCAGGAGCCCAGGCACGGCAGGTCTGCTCAGGCAGCTCCTGTCTCCTGTGCTCAGGGTGATTCCTTTTCCAGACCAGCTCTGTGCCAGACCTTGCTCCTGCAGATGTGCCCGGTGCCACCTGATGTGTGGCAGCTTTTAAGGGTGAGTCTCCACTGATGAGGGCTGCACAGCACTGCCACTCATCCCACTCAGCACTTGGACAAAATGTAGGACTGAACTCCAGAGGTAGGAACCAGTTCTTTGTTATTTCATTGTCTGAAACTTTTTCCTTGGAGCGTGTTTGGGGAAGGATGGGAGATAGACCTTTTTACCTTTCTGGTTTTGTCTCTTTCTGTGGTGCATCATATCCATCCCTTCCATAGCTGAACCAGTGGGTCTGGACTCTCTGACAGGAATTCAACAGAAATCTTTTTCAATCTTTTGTCCCCCTAGAAGCAGCCCAAGTTTTTGGGGCAATCCGTCTCAAAACATTTCTGTAAAATTTCCTTTTAGTTCTTGATGCTGCTCAGGCCCATCAGACTGACACAAAACCCCCTCAGTAATGTCCCCAGCCCCGGTGGAATGGCTGAGCTCCAGCCTTGCACTGTCCCACCGTAATTACATTTCAATTGTAGATATAATTGTGGCAGGTTCTAGGCCACTGGCTCTGAATCCTCCTGAATTCTCAGGGCTGACCGTGGCATTTGTCTGTACTTTCCTGTCCCTGGGGCTGATCACTCCGAGCTTCCCAAGGGACCAAGCGCTCGCTCTGCACAGCTCCTTGGAGCTGAGGGTGCCTGCCCACACTGAGAGATGGGTGAGTGAGCGACCCCGTAATGTTCAGGTTGGTTCGGCTGATCTCGCGTTGGTTCGGCTTATCTAGTTCGGTTGGGCTTATCTAGTTCGGTTGGGCTTATCTAGTTCGGTTCGGCTGAACGCGGTTCCGTCCCGTTCCGTTCAGTTCACCTCAGCTAAACTCGGATCGATTCGGCAAATCCCGGCCAGAGTCGGCCCTTCGGGTACGCTCGGCTGTTATCGGCCACACTCGGCTGTTGTCGGCTCCACTCGGCCACGCTCGGCTCTTCGGCCGTACCTGACTCTGCTCCGCGGTGTAGTGGCGGCCGCTGGCAGGGCCCTGCTCCCCGGCCTGAGCCCCGTGAGGGGACAGAGCGCTGGGACAGCCGCCTCAGCCCGGGTCACCCTGTCCCTGCCTGGCCCCGCGTCCCCCGGAGTGCACCCTGCAGCGCAGAACGCGGCCTTTGGGCCAGGAGCTGGGACAATGCCCTTGGCTCGGCAGCAGCGCCGGGAGGCAGCGGGCGGTGCCCTCAGGTGAGCGGCCGGAGGGGAGGGAGCTGGGCCGGGGGCACCAGGGCCGGGGCACCCACAGGGGGCCGGGGCTGCTTTGGGTGCTGCTGCGTGGGACCCGCTGTGGGTGGGATGGGCCTGTCCCGGGCCTTGCGGCTCTCTGGGATCGTGTTCCGTGGAATAAAGCTGGGGCTCGTCCCAGCTGCGGGGACAGTGCTTTATTGTGTGAGAAACAAAGTTCACTCTTTAGAATTTTTACACGTTTGTTAAGGGATAAAAGGCAGCGCTGAGGTGCTTGGCTGTTTGCCGGGAGCACCCGGTTACCTTAAACCGTGTTGTCTATATTGTGTTCCATTGCAGTGGTGTATGCATATTCATTACAGTTTATACATATTCAAAGAGTCCTTTGAGTTTAGATGTTCTTTTGCTTGGTTTTAACCTTCGTGCCATCTTGTGGATTAAACCAATATACTTTATTTCTTCCTGTGGTGCCATCCTGTTTTATTTTCACTCCCTCGTTATTTGATAACGAGGGTCAATACGTTTTTTCTTTTTTTCAGTGCTCTGGTTTCTGTTTCTGTTATCTTGTGTTTCAGATAAGATTGTCCCCAAATGTGGGAAATCACCTAATTACCTGACACCATTTTCTGAGTTACTTGCATGTAAAAGCATTTTAACATTTCGCAGTCTCTATTATGCTGCAGTCTAAAATAGTATCTATTACACTGCTATTTATAAAAGCTATGCAGTGCATACACGAACTGACAGATTATACTTTATCAAGAGCAGTAGTTACAGATTTTACCCTCTCAGGATTTTTGTGGTCAATAATACCGTGCCAGAGCTAATAGATAAATGCCAAAGGCAATAACTGCATTTGTTATTTATATTTCTGGGCTCTGTTTTCCGGGAAGCAGCGGGATGGGTGTCCCTGTGCCCACCCCCCTGGGTCCCAGAGAGAAGCTGCTCCTGTGGCTGCAGCTGAGGGGCAGTGGGAAACCTGAACAGTCCTGATGGAAACCGATGCAAAACCAGGTTTTGTTGGGTTTGGGACTTGCCACTTTTCCCTGATCCGTGTGTTTTGCCTTAGGAAACAGGAACTGGGCACCAAGACATTTTGTTACCCTAGAAGGGACGAGTTTGTTTGTGTTTATTTCCTGAGCCACCTGGAACGATTTGGGTCTCAGTTGGCACCTGAGAGCCTCCTTCTGTGTCCTGGGTGGGGTGGTGGCTATCAAAGGGGTAAAAGTTGGAGCAGGAGGGTGGGTGGAGAGGAGAGCAGTGGCTCTTTGGGGATTTGCATCTGGAAAGGGCCCTCAGTTTCCCTATGGGAGTCCTGGAAACAGAGCTGAGAGTTCCTGAGCAATGAGGATGGTGCAGCTGGAGTGCTGAGAGTGCAGAGGCTGCAGTGGGTGTTGTCTGCTCGCTCTCCTGATGTCCCATCTCTAATGCTGGGCTGGCACCCAGGCACCTCCCAGGGCTGGACACCCTCAGGGCAGGGGTGGTTTTTAAATGTTTTAAATGCTGCAGCAGCTCCCTCAGATTGGATGAGTGTGAGGATATCCAGCTCTTTCTTAGGGCTTGGAGCATAGCAAGGGTGCAGGGCTCATGGTCAGTCTTGTTTAAACACTTGTAATAGCAAAATATTTTAAAACAGAGACTTTGAGGAAATAACATCTGTGAGTCTGTTGCAAGGATAGGTACAAGCTGTCTTTATTAAAGATCCACACTGCTGGATGTTTTGTCAAAGCACTCTGGGGACAGAAGGTGTCCCCAAAGCTTCATTAACCCCTTGTTTTCTGCTGGTAGGGCAGGGTGTGAGCCCAGCCTCGGGGGCTGTGTGGCTCATCCTGCCTGGAGCAGGGACACCCCGTGAGGCTGAGCCACAGAGGTTCAGTTGTTGGAGCAGGTGGGGATCTCTTTGTGCCTGGGAATTGTTGTTGCTGCGTTCCTGTCCCAGCTGCAGGGTTCCCTCAGAGCCTGTGCCCTGCAGCAGCACTGGGAGCTCCTGTGCTGGGCAGGGAGCAGCTCTGGGCTGGGGCTTTCAGTCCCATCAGCGTCCATTGAAATCCAGCGTTTGTTTTACTTCCATCGGCCTCTCTGCTGTGCCACCCTCGGTGCCAGGGGACAGAGCTGTGGGAAGGCTCCATCCCATCTGTGCCAAGTGCTGCCAGCGCTTCCAGCAGCACTGCTGGGGCATCAAGGGCTGCCTTTGGAGCCTGGCTTTCACAGAGGGTTACACACTCTGCCCTTCAGCATCCAGCTGCATCCTACAGCTGGACAGTTCAGCTAGCAGGGAGCAGAGTCAGCTCTTGGGCCCAAACCAGGTTTTGTCCCACAGAGAGCGACTGAGCTTCCTGAGGTAGCACACAGATGTGCACTGGCCTTTGGGGCTAATAGTGAGTGCTGCCAGGTGATTGCGATAAGGTTGAACTGAAGCTTTCTTAGAAAAGCCATCAGCTGTAAGGAGAATCTATGGAAAACAGGTGGCTGGTGCACTAGCTGGTAGTAGGTCCTGGGCTTTTCTTCTTCTTCTCTTTAACCTGTTCTTAAGAGGACCCCAAAACTGCAAAATCGAAAGGAAGGGGGATGTGGGGGTGAAAGTTGCTTTTCATTTTTTGAAGTGTTGCTGTGGATTTTGGTGTGTCAAGTGGCACTACCAAAACAGCATTGGAATAACCAAACTTCAGGACTCTGCACTTAATTCCTTGAATGTGTTTGTGTGGGTGCAGGAAATGCCAAATCCCAAGGCAATTCCATGTCTGTAACTTCAAGTGCAACATCTTTAAAACCAAGTGCTCAAGGCTTTCCATGTGGATGCAAATGGTCAAAGGCCTTTCTTGTGTCCCAAAAGCAAAAACCCTTTCTCTGTGAGGTTTTGGAGGGGATTCTCTTTGGGATTTCTTGTGATGCAGCATCCTGGGTGTCCCTTCCTTTGTGCAAAGTCCAATGATAAAGGATGGAATGGCTGACACATGGGGTCTGGGATAAAAATGGTTCTGTTAAAATTGGGCAGAGAATGCAATAAGAAAAATGAGCATCCTTTCAATGTCTGAAATAGTCAGGAATAAAAGTGCTGGAAAAGCTCACGTTTATGTTTGAATTGGTGTCACCTCTCATGGATAAAACCCCATAGTGAGCAATCAGAGCAGAAGTATGAGAGCTAGGATCCTTTGACTTCCACAGTGGATTTAATTTTCTTTTTCTCCTCTCTTTCAGGGCAGGAAAAATCATCAAACTCCTCCCATCTTTGCCAAAAGCTTTGGTGTTTAAGCAGCCAAAGGCAAGAGGCCTCAGCACCAGGGGTCTGCACTGGAGGGCTCTGGTCCTGCCCATGCTGTGGGGTGAGTCAGAGGGACACAGGGCTCCTCTTTTCCTCTCTGCTGGGATTAACTGCCATGGGAATGCCATTGCTGACAGCCCAGCCCCAGCTGTGTCTGCTGGAGAAGGGCAGAGGTGAAGAGACAAATGCCAGAGTTCCCTGGGGATGCTGGAGTTGTGGTGTTGGCTGTGCCCTGAGGGGCAGGTTGGGCATTATCTGTGCACCCAAGGACTGCTCTGGGGGTTTGGGAGCTCTCAGTGCATTCCCAGCTCTGCCAGGGCTGGCAGCCGGTGCAGGGCTGGGTGACAGCCTCTGGTCAGGCTGGGGGCAGGCATGGCCCTGGCACAAATGCAGGGGCAGGGCTGGGAGGATTTGGGAGCAATGGGAGGAGAATGAGGGATGGTGCTGGGCACAGTGGTCAGCCTGTGCTCGTGTCAGCACAGCCCTGCAGGGCCCTGGCATCTGGGAACAGCTCCAGCTCTCCTGGTGCCCAGGGATGGGCTCTGAGGGACTGGGTTTACCTGTGGCTTTCCAGGTCAGCAGGAACAAGGGCAATGTGGTGCCAGAGCTGTGGCCCATCAGGCTGTATTTCCCTCTGGGAAAGCAGAACAGTCTCTGGGCTGAGGTGAGTTTCCTGCAAGTGCTTAGAATCCAGGGAAATGGGAGTTCAGGAATTGCATCTGCTGCTGGGAACAATGCCTTAGGCTTGCTTAGTTTGTGTCTGTGAGAAGTGGGCTTTGGGCTGGAGAGGTGCTGTTGGCAACAAAAGATGGAGTCAGTCCTCTCCAGGGATGTGCAGTGAAGGACTGAGTGGGAGGGAAGGGGAGTATTTAGAGATGATATCAGCATTTCTCCCAACATTGGGGTGGAGCAGTGATGGGGGTGGTTGGGTTTGCTCTGGGCCTTGTTATTCCTTGTGCAATTTTCAAATTCTGTTGCATGATTTACTGTCCAGTATCTTTCTAACAAAAACTGACAGAAATTTAGGTTAAGATTAGAACTTAGGTCCATTCACTGCAAAATCTTGCCAAGACTGGAGGACTGTGATGATGGCTGCTCTCAACAAAGGTCACTTATTAATGCTGTGTCAGATTTCCCTCAGTGCTGGGCAGGAAAGGTGAGGGTTTGGATCAGGAATTCTGCAAACAAGGCCTGGGTGATGGTTGATTTGTTTTGTTTTTCAGTGAGCCAGGGCTGGCACAGGGAATCGTGCAGGTGCTGGTCTGGCACCGGAGCTGCTGCCCTTTGGAGCCATTTTAAGGGTATGATCATAGAACATTTTGGGGGCTGTTTTCAGAACTCCTGTCCCCAGCCCATTGCTAACCCTGGGACATCTGCTCTGGTTTCAGGCTGTCCTTGCTGGAGCAGCCTGGTCCCTGCCGTCCCCAAGCCCTGAGACACAGAGGGAGCCCTGTCCCAAGTGGCCTTTGGCACCTTGTCAGGAATGTGGCAGCAGCCCCGGGAGCAGGCTGGAGGTGAGAACTGGGTGTTTGAAACTGAGGAGTGCTTATCTGGGGCTGGGGGGAAGGGGGAGGAGTTTCCATCCCCCCTGGAGCTTTCCTGCTGGGATGGGGCAGCACAGGGAGCAGAATTAATTGTGCACCTCCCATGGGCATTGCTGGCCTTGGTGTCTGTGTTGTGCCATCAGACCGTGGCACTTTGCTGCTGTCACTGCCACTGCCAGCCCAGCTGGGGGCTGTGCCCTCCTGCCAGCCCCACACAGGAGCTCCAGGGGTGCCTCTGTGCCCTGTTGGGAGCGTTTGCTGGGAATGTGCCTCAACCCTGGGAGTGTCCCTTTGTCCCTGGGCTGCCAGACAGAGCTTTGGGCTGCTCAGGCTCAGGGTTGGATTGCCAAAGGCACTGAGAGGGAGCAGCACAGGGAGGGTGCTCAGAGAGGGGCTGGCAGAGCCCAGCTGGCAGGCTGGGCTGGGTGCTGCAGGTGGGTGGGTGTGCACTGCAGGGAGTGAATGTCCCCTTCCCTAACCAGCCCTGCAGATCCCAAGGGCTCCTAGAGCAGGATTTTATTCCTCACTTCCCTTTGTGGAAATTCATTCTCCAAATTGCCATGAGCAATTCTTTGATTTCTCTAAGAGAAAACCTCCCAACAGAGACAGATTGCAATGGAGGCCAGAGTTGTGTTTGGAGCAGAGAGTGCTGAGAGCTGCGTCTGCCTGTGCTGCCACAGCCTGACCACAGCCACATGGAACAGCCTGGGAAAAGGGAATTGGGGGAATTGCTGATGCCCCAGTGAGAAGAACACAAACTCACAGCCATTCAGCCTGACAGTCCCCTCCACCCAGAGCTCAGCACACTCAGAGGTAAGTCCAGCATCTGAAGGAAAAAAAAACACAGAAGAAAAAGGTGATTTATTTTGCTTTAAATTTATTTCGAGTTGTTATTAAACCCAGCCAACATTTGCTCTTGATTTTGGTTGGGTGAATAACGAGCAGTGGGCATAGATGATGCCATTCATGTAGCTGAAAACCTGGGATCTAGAGGGGATACAAGAACTGTTTGTGTAGGAAAACGTGAGGGGATGTCAGGGGGAGCGAGGTGGCATTTTTGAGGGAATAGCTCCCTACCACCACAGCCGTAGCATGCCTGGAGCCCTGGTGGGACCCAGCCCTGCACTGGCTGCAGCCAGAACGGCTCTTCCTGACCACGGCGATGCCGGTCTCAGTCCCGATCCTAGCTCCAGTCCCACCTCGATCCTCCAGCCCCAGCACCCACCTGTACCTTGCCTGCCAAGGAAGAAGCAGCCTGGCTCCCCCAGCAAATAGGGGCAGGATCAGGACCCGAATCCCCAGGCCTAAATCCTAATCCCGGCCCCACCCGAGCACCTTGGACCCTGCTCAGTACCAGCAGCAGCCTCTAATCTGGATCTCTGCACAGCACTCAGACGGACGCTCCCACCGCATCCCGAGATGAGCACCCCCCACAGAAAGCAGGACAAGTGCGGATCCGCCGGGATTTATGGGCGGGGGGGGGCGGGGGGAGGCGGGGGCCTCGGGGGCGGGGCCGGCACAGGTGCGAGGGAACCCAGTGCGGCTGCGCGGGGAGGGGCCTTAGGGGATTTAAGGCGCGGGGAGGGGCTGGTGGAACCATGTGCTCCTCGGCGTTTGTTACGGGAGGTTGCTACTGGCCGGGGCCTATATCTCTTTTTCTCTACGTTTCTTTACTTTTCTTTTTTTTTTTCTGTTGTATTTCTTGTTCTGTATACTTCTCCTTTCAACCCTCCTTTCCATCCCCCCCCTCCCCACGGCCAGCCCCAACCCCCGCCCTGACTTCATTCCTCTACCCCACCTTATTTCTCGGTCTTCTTCCTTCCCTCCCCAACCGAGCTCCCCCCTGCCCCTTCTCCCTCCTCCCCACCCCCCCCCCCCCCAGTCGCGCCCCATCTACCCTCAATCCTGCTCCTTCCTCCACCCCGCCTTACCCCCAGCCTCATCCCCTACTACCCTGCACACCCCGACCTGCCCCCACCTTCTCCTCACCTACTCCTCCGCTCCCCTATTCTCGTTCTCCATTCCCCGCTCCCCTCCTTTCCTCACAGCCGCGGGGCTCGGGGTGCCGGGCAATAATAAAGCCCTAAGGGCTGGAGCTCGGCGCCCCTGCCCTCGCTGGGGTCCCCACACAGGGCCGGACGCGCTCTGCAGGTGCCCCTATTGCAGTCCAACACACCACCCGACACCGCCGGGGCTCCGGTTTTCCCAACATCACACTGGGGGGGTCCTGGGGAGAGGGGTCCGAGTTACAGGGGCCGCCTCATTAGGAGGGGGTCTCCCCGGGGGAGGAAATCGGGGAGAGGGCCGGGCCTGACGGGTAACTCCCCCTCCAGGCCCCGCCCACTCCCCGGGACTCCTCCGGCCGGTGGGAGGGGCGGGGACAGGGCCCCAGGGGACAGTCGTGTGGTTGGCTTTTTTTTTTGTTTGTTTGTTTTAAATTTGTGTTTACCGTACAGAATAACGTGCCCCTCTTTGCTTCCCCACCCGCCCCTCCCCCCCCCCCGGGCCCCGGTCTGGAGGCGGAGGGGGCTGGAAGGCCCCCTCCGGAGGAGGGATCCAGCCTAATCTACCCACACCCCCCCACCCCAGGACTCCCCCCCCCCCCCAGTGTGATGTTGGGAAAGCCGGAGCCCCGGCGGTGTCGGGCGGTGTGCTGGACTGCAATGGGGGCACCCGCAGAGCGGGTCCGGCCCCGTGTGGGGACCCCAGCGAGGGCAGGGGCGCCGGGCTCCGGCCCTCAGGGCTTTATTATTGCCCGGCACCCCGAGCCCCGCGGCTGCGAGGAAAGGAGGAGAGGGGAGGACGGGGAGACAGGAGAGATGGGGGAGGTGAGGACGGGGAGGGAGAGGGGTCGGAATGAGGAGGGAAGCGGGAGAGGAAGGGAAAGGCCGAGGGGGGAGAAGAGGGACGGTGGAGAGACGAGGAATAGAAAGGAGTAGCGGGCAAGGGACCGGACGGGAAGGAGGGGGGGGGGGGGGGGTCGGGTTTAGGAGGAAAGGAGCGTTTCAGGGCGAGAGGGAAGGGGGAGAAAGAAAGGGAATACGCGGAGAAGGAGGGGTAGAGAGAGAGAGACAGAAGGAAAGGCCGAAGCTTCCGCGCCTTACCTGCGGAGTCCCCACAGGGAGCTCCCGTCTGCACCGTGCACTGAGTGAGCAAATCGTGGCTGAAGCGATTTCCGGGGTCTAAATTACCTCGGCCCCGCCCCGCGCAGCCGCCCTGGGGCCCCGCGCACCTGAGCTGGCCCCGCCCCTGACACCGCCCCCGTTCTGTCAGGCCCCGCCCACCCGTGTCAGGCTGGCAAATGTGTGAGGGGCGGGGGCATCGCTCGAGGCCCCGCCCCCCGCACCGTTGTCCCCCGCCACGCAGGGGCGCCGCGCTCGCACTGCTCTCCGTATCCGCCAGAGGGCGCCCTGCGGGGTCCCGGCTCCACACGGCGGCTCCGCACCGGGGAACGGCCTCGATCCCGCACCTGGCAGCGCCCCGTGCCCGCGGCCATCCCGGGCCCAAAACCGATTCCGGGCCCGGTGCCGCTTCGATCCGCCCGACGGGGGAGAGGGGGCACCGCCCGGCACACCCCAGCGGCGCTCTGCCCCCCACCCCCGGCCACGGTGGCGGTGGCACCGTCGCAGCGCCCCGTGCCCGCTCTCCGTGGCCCCGCCCCCCTATTCCCCCCGGTCCCGGGAGCCTCGCTCGGCGCTGTGCGAGCCCCGTCCGACGGCTGCTCCCGCCGGGGACCGCTCGGAGCCCGGGGCGCTGCGGCGGGGCCGTGACCGTGGCCCGGGGTGCGGGGGCCGAGCGCTACCTGGGTCTGCCGGGGGTCCCGGGCAGTGCCGCCTCTCCCCCGTCGGCATCGGGACCGGGATCGGTATGGGGTGGGAGGAGCCGCTCCGGGCGGGACTTGGGGCCGAGTCTGACACCGCCGCTCTCGCCCGGGAGGAGCGGCGGGGAACCGGGCGGGACAGCGGCGGCCGTTCCCCGGTGCAGACGCGGAACCGCGGCCAGGACCGGGCCCGGCGCGGGGGCTCCGACCGGCACCGTGTGCTCGGGGGGCGGCCCGGCCTGTGGGCTCTGTCCCCGGACCCCAAAATGCAGGACTTGGCCTCTGTGCTCAAGGCCTGGATGAGCCTCGTTCTGCACTCCCGAAACAGAGGGCTCAAGTCCCTGCTTCACAGCCCTGGGCCTGGCCAGGTGGGACTGGGTCCAAGTGCCAGCAGCGGAGGACTTTGTCCCTGAGCCCTTCTCACCTTCACCACCACAGAAAAAACCCAAAACAAAACAAAAAAAAACACCCACAGGACTTAAGACTCTGATTCTGAGACCAGAAAAATGCCCAATTTATTAGTCTCAGTTCACAGGGTCGTGGAATTGACTGGACATCCCTACAGATGGTGACAGGGAATGGACCTCTCACACATTTGATTCTGTTGTGAGAACTGCTTCAGGCTAGCAAAAAAACCACATGTGGCATAAGAAGGTAGGAAGCCTGCCCTGAAAGGATGCCATAAAATGCAGCCTATCTGCAATACCGTGTTATCCCAGCAATGTGATATCCTATTATCCCCACCCGGGTTTGTTGTGCCGCCTCCGGCTCTCTGAGCGATGCCGCTTGTGGCTCCAGGCGCTCCCGTGGTGCAGGGAACACCCACGGATCCGCTCGGCTCGGGGAAACCGAAGGGGTGCCCAGGCCGGAGCGGGCAGCAGCAGGTGACGATCTGGGTGCTCCTCCCCGGGTCCTGAGCTCAGGCTGAGGGAGCTCCCACCTGCCGCTGCCGGGAAGGAGCAGCTCGCCAAGGATGGCCGCGCTCTCGTGCGATGGCAGCTGCCCTGCCTCTCTCAGGGACAGCGTGAGCGTTGGAAGAGGAACCGGAGCCCCAGCGGCAGGGGCTCGGCAGCAGCCGGCACTGAGCCCCCTGCACTGAGCAGGAGCAGAGGGACGTGCCCGAGCCCGGGACTCGCATCCCGCACGGGGACTCGGGGACGTGGGGTCTCTACTTGGGCTCCGCCAGGAGGAGGAGGCGGATGGGATGGGAGTGCCCGGGAAGAGCCCGGCACTGCCAGCCGACAGGGCTGGTGCTGAGGGGAGAACTCGCTCTGTGTTCCTTGAGCGGGATTTAGGGATGGCCAGAAGCTTTAATATTCATTTTACAGACTATCGCACACCGACCGATACCAACGTGCATTATGCAAAACTGCCACAATGTCTGCAGGCTTCAAACAAAGATAAACAATGCTGTTCTCCTTTCCTTCTTTATGCAAGTACACGTAGCTAAGATTAGTAACACCTGATACCATTTTCTCTTTAAAACTCTGGCCAATACCATGCCACTGACTAGGTTTCAAAAGCAGAAAGATGACAGCCATAAATTAAACCTGATGCCAGATCTTTGCATATTTAGCTTTCCATTACAGAAATCCCTGGATGGATCCACGTGCTCCTCTGCTCCTATGATCTGAGGTTTTGTCTCACTCTCATCTCATTAGGATGCCCTAAATCCAACCTGTTCTGCTTCTCAGACCAAGGCCTGCTGCCATCTCTGCTCGTGACATTTGCATGGCACACATTGTTACCATACTGATAATGGCAAAACAAATTGCCTCTCTTTCTTTCTGCAATAAACAATAAATAAAAGTTCAGCTTCTGGGGAGCTGCAGCTGTGAAACTCATGAGCAGCTCTCAACATGATCTAAACGTGGAGCTGCTCTTTTTCAAGTCTTCCCCTGTAGAAAATCCACATTGTTGTAAAATGCCACCAAAGCAGGAATTGCTGCTGAAGCTCTCAGCGCACAAGGGAAGAGCCATTCATGGGGCTAAAAGTGCCTCATTCCCACTTTTCATTGCTCTTGGATCAACCTATGTGTTAATTTCCATCTTCCTGATAAGTCTTGATCTTTTGTAGTGGAATCAAAGCAAAGCAGAGGTGAGCAAAACTCCACCTGTTGGTATGATCCTTCCAACTGCTTTAATTTATGTTGTTCCAGCTGTATTTATTTCATTAATAAAAGGCAAATTAAAGAGTCTTTTTATCTCCACGGTTTATGTTGTCTTTTGCTTGCTTGGACTTTTGCTTTCTGCCCTTTGCCAGTCTTGGCACGTTCACCTTTCAGGATTCCCATCCTCCGCCCTGCCCGGGCTGCCTCTGGCTCAGCTCCCTTGGCAGCTGCTGCTTTCACCTGAGCTTTTTGCCTTTAGCTCATATCCCTTTCCATCGGCCATGCCTCCCAACTGCTCCAGCCCGGGAATTCCCGCCTGTGAGCAAGCAGGGATTCCCTCCCCTGGCCCAGGGAAGCCTCCACCCATGCACACATTGCCAAGGGTCAGGGGCTGCTCCAAACCTTTGGTATCCCAGAGCTCCCGGATCACTCCCAGGGCAGAGCTGGGAGCCTGTCCTAAGGACCAGGACTGACGCACGCGGTGACTGCAAAGTCCCCCATGGATATTGGATCCAGCTGTCAGGAGCAGGTGCAGCCAAGGCAGCCCATTTCCTTCCCACTGAGAGATCTCCAGCACTTCAGCCTGGTAAGGCTGGCACACAAATCCCTGCTCTGGGGCACAGCAGTGACTGCAGCGCATCCAGGAGAAGGCAAATGCAATGATCGTGGCTCAGTTCTGAGGCTGTGATCGAGATTCATTCTCAGTAATTTCAAACAACGATTTCACCCCACTGCTTAGTTCTTTCTACAGCTGGGACTCCAATAAGAGGAGAAAGGAGGCAGTTTACTGGAGCCCCTTTCCTGCCAAACATTGAAGTTCATTCAGGTCCTGAGAGAAAGCACAGCCAGGGAGAGCTGCCCCTGCTCTGCTGGGATTGCACCCTGCACTCACGAGGGACAGGTGTCTCTGTGAAAATCGGTCTCAGTATTTTTATGCCTCATAGTTCCCACTGAAATGATTTTGACCAGAACTGAGACTGCTGAGCATCACTGAGCAGCAAAGGAGACATTCAGCAATCCCCATGACCTGGCAGAGATTATTGCTGGTGATGGCCTGAGCCCTGGGCTGAGAGTTACAGTGGTAGCAGCAGTAACAGCCACCCCGGGATTCCCCAGAAATAGGAGAAACTGTCCCTTCCCTTTGTGGGGAGAATGTCTATTGTGCATCTCCCAGTTACAGCCTCAGCACTCAATTAATTCCTTCTACCTTCCTCACAAGGCATCTCCACTAGTTCCATCATCTGCCAGCTGGGCAATGCTCCCCTCCTTATTTCAAAGGTGAGAGCAAGGAACTTTGCAATTGCCCCTCACTGAGCTCCTCTCACATCATCTCCCATTCCTTTCATTTCCTTACCAGCAAGGAGAAACATTAAAGGAAAAAAGTGTGTTGTGGTCTATGCAAGGCCAGAAAGTGGCCTGAAGAGACAGATTTTGGATTAACTCTGGCTGTATAAGACCAAAGTCAATCAGGATTTCCTCAAAAAGAAAAAAAGAAAGGAAGGGATTATTAAAGCTATTTATAGAGTCAGATTAAGGTCCGTTCCTCAAGGTTTTGGCTTTTGGCACTTCTGTAAGCAACACAACAGACTGTGGGCAACTGTGACAGACTGCACAGAAGACTCGGAGGAGGAATTCATTCCCCCATCCAAATCAACTGAATTGACTTGGATAAGGACAGGAATTCCCTCTGGAGTGTCAGTGCTGCCCAGGTACTGGCAGGGTGACTTGCACTGCCACCCCTGGCACCTCTGGTGCTCAGTGGGCACAGCTGAGGGGCTGCTGGGCCTCTCTGAGCTCGCTCCTTTGAAGGGAAACTTTGTGGCATTGCTGAGAAGATGCCCTTCCCTATTTCCCATGTCTCTCTGTCCCAGAGAATGCCCTGCTGCTCCCAGGGCCCCTCCCTGCCTGTTGCTGTGAGCCAGCAGAGGCCTCACTCCCCCTGCAGTTCCCGTGCCCTGCTGGGATCTCACATCCCAGGGCTGGGCAGGGAGTGGCACGGGGGAATGACCTGCTCGGGTGTCCCTGCAGCTCCAGCACAGCTCTGCTGCCAGGGGAGAGGAGCCCGGTCCCAGGTGGCTCTGACGCTGCTGGCATTCATTGTCACAGGACTGTGTGGGTGTCACCTCACCAGCAGAGGGACTCCATGGACCCCATCCAGCACTTTCAGAGCCTCTGCCTGAGGGCTTTTGGCACCGGGGGCACGGCTCTGACCGAGCTCCTCCTGAACGCTCT